TTAAAGTTGCTACGTCAATTTAATGCAGTGCTCTTCAAGAAGCCAATGATAATCTTTCAGGAAGTAGAACAATTACAAAATTTGTATGAAACTACATAAGACATTGAATAGTCAAAGTAATCTTTTTAAAGATTTATTTATGCATATAGAATGGGGTACAGGCTAGAGGTGTACGGGTGGTGAGAGGCTTCACCAGAGACAGAGTGGGGAGTAGAACAGGGCGACTGACAAGTACACTGCTGAGGGGAGCAGAGGGTGGGTCAGGATACCCATGTGGGTCACCTCCTGAGTAGGGATCAAATTCATGCTGAAGTGGCTTTAGCTTTTTAGTGCTGTGCTTTAACCCGCTGCGCTACCAGGGTGGGCCCTAGTCAAAGAAATCTTGAGAACAAAAAAGAAGGAAAAAATGGGAGGTGTCATGCTCTCTGACTTCAAATGATCTACAAAATGACAGTAACTAAAGTATAGTATTGGAACAAAAACAGACATTCAGAACAGTGTAATGGAATTGAGAACTCAGAAATATACATACAAAGAAACCAAGAACACACTATTGTAAAAGGAAAAACCTCTTCAATAAATGATATTAAGAAACCTGTTTAGCCATAGCAGAAAAAGAAATGAAGCCAGATAATTATTTCAATACAAAATTATTAGGGGAAAAATGGAAATTGTTTAGATTATCTTGCAACCCAAAATAACTAAGACAAGGAAAACCACTTGTGTTGTTAAATTACTTTTTTATTATTTATTTTTATTAAATTTCATGTACTACTTAGTTCTTGTAGTACTACTTGGTTCTTGTAGTAGTAATAAAATTACCAGCCATGTCCCAGAAAATTTCAGGATCTTTGCTACTTCTAAAGCAGAACATTTCTGTGAGCAAAACTGTTTTTGTCTGATACTATACTAGAATAACAGAGGTACCAGCAGGTATCATTTAGTGATCAGTTATTGTGTGCTCGTACATTTATTAGTTCATTCATAAAAGTAAATTCCATTGTTATTATTCAGATACAAATCTCAGGTTTAGATATTGTTGGAAATAACAGTTGTATGTGAGAGAATCTGAAATCAAATCCAAATCTGTTTTTAAAGGTTGATGCTCTTAACTAGTATGCTGAGTTATCAAGGGATAAATGGTTTAGTATTTTAATTTGTGCCTCCTTATCATGTTTAACTAAAATTTGTTACCTCTTTGAAATTATGAAATAAGGTCTTTCCTGCTTGCCCAGATTACAGTGATTTTTATCTCTAATATTGGTATCTAATGTGAAATTAACTTTGTAATAAACTGTTTTGAGCTTTATTATAATTTAGGGGAGAACTTTTTAAAATTTAAGGTGTGTTGTAAATTTGGCAGTATATTTTGTTTGAATACAGTAAGCTAGAAATAATTTATTTTAGATTTATATTTTCAATTTTAACCTTTCAATCCTGGAAGGAAGAGGATGGCAAATAGTAAGGAGCTTTCACTGTTCTTAAATTTTGTTCTGGTGAGGAAATAGATCACTTAAGTGAATTATCATGAATAAGTGTTTACTCTACCATAAAGTTTCCCCTATATTTTTACTCATTCTTCTTTGGCTTTGGATGACTATGTATAAGCTAGGTTATTTAAATTGCTTGCTTCTTGATCTCTTTAAATGCATCAAACCTACCACCTTTGGTTCTAGATGCCAGCAGTAATCTTTCTATATACCTGATATTTTTTCTCCTGGACCTTTTCTGATTCTGACTTAGGTATAGTCCCCCACCAAGGAGACTCTCCCCTCCCCAAAGCTCCTCAGCATTTCCTGGCTTTTCCCACAAGTATCTCAAATGAATTTAGTTCATTGACAACTGTACTGTCACAGTTTTTAAATTTATGCTATTTGGTAACTGGGAAATTATATTTAATATGCTTTTTAGCATTGTGAATAACTAGGTTTTTACATACAAATTCTTAATAAATCTTAGGTTTTTGGCAAGAAATATAACCCCATCTGATAAAATTATTTTCATAGAAGAGTGAAATTTACTTAATATTTTGATGTAGAGAACCACATTTTCTGTGACAATACAGTTAATAAGTTTATCTTTTTGAAAACTGAATTTTGCTGACTTTTTGTTTGTAATAATTTGGGCAGATTAGTTACTGTGAGATTTGTGTATGCTCCTGGAGATAAGAATCCAGATAATTAAGTAACTGCTAATATGTGGAATTTATATTTTGGAGAACTTTGAAGTATTTTAAAATAATACTGTATATTACCAGGGCAAGTATACCATAAAATGAATTTTACAATCTTTTTGTTCAGAGCGGAAAAGTTGGTTAATCAAACAAGGTAAAACAAATCTATTACGAAATATATTTAGCCTGTTTCAGAGAGTAAAAGACAAAATGGGGCTTTGAAGTTTCCTTTGATCAATTTAGTAGTATGCTAAGTATATATGTACTAACTAAAGTGCTATATATGTACTAACTGTATAAAACAGTGAACCAATTTTAACATTCTTCCATTTGTATTTGATAGCAACATTTTATGATTATTTTCTTTTTCTGTATTAAAACATTTTCTGTGCATTATAATAAGTTTCTTAGCTCAAGATTATTACTAGGCAGTTTCAACTTCTATTATAAATCTAAGTTTGGAATTAAATCCACATTAGGAAATAAAAATAGCTTTTATGAGGCATAATAAGTCTATGAATGAAATTTTTTTCAGGGTATATATTTCAAATATAATTATCAACATTTTTATAATGTTTTCTTGGTACACAAAAAAATAAAGTTCAGCAAGAATTAAAAAACATTTGTTAGTCTTTATTCTTTACCAAAACAGTAGGAAAATAGGAATATATTTTAGAAATACCTGCTTCAAAACAGCAATAAAACACTTTGGCTTTTGTTTTTCTCTTATGTTATGAGATTTAATAAGTTGAAATGTGACAGGCTTTGAAAAATGTTTTGTGGTTCAGTAGTCACTGCTAAATAGAAAATGCAGTAAATTTAGGATAATTAAAAATGTTAACAACATTTTTAATAAATTATGTTAAAAGACATTATGTGATGATCAAGGAATTCAAAGTAGATCATTAATTAGTTCAATTCACTATATTCCAAACTGAAATAGAAGGCCAACATATTTTATTTGGGGTGTAGTGAAAGCATTTGACAAAATTTAAAACTCACTTCCATGATAAAAACATAAGAAATTAATGGAAGCAATTTTCCTCAACTTGATAAAGGAGATCTTTGAAAAAATTTTAGTTAACTACTTAACACTTTATGGTCAAAGGAAAGCTTTCTGCTTAGGATCAAGTATAAGATACTTTCTTACTGCTTCTATTAGAGTAGAGGCTTTTTCTAGTACTGATAGGCAAGAAAAGAAAGAGAACTCTTAGTCACCAACTATGTGATCATCTACACAGAAAATATAAACAAAGATACCTTGTTAAAGGATTGGAAGATTTATTATTATGATAAATCTCAAAATGGATCTATAGGTGCAATGCAGTCTCAATCAAAATCCTGGGAAACATTTGTGGAAATTACAAGGAGTTCTAATTAGTACATAGAAATGTAAAGCATTTACAGTTTTGAAAAAAGCTGACTTTTTTTTTGAAGACTAACATTACCTAATTTGAAGACTTACTAGAAATTTTGTAATATATGTGGCATCATCATAAAGATAGACAACTTGAACAATGGGAGATAATAAAGTGTTCAGAAATAAACTCACTGATAAATAATTACTCACTTTTGGGGAAAAAAAAGTAATGCAGTAAGTACAGAAAAGCCAGCGTTTCAAGAAATGATACTGGCGTAATTGGATATTTTATGGGAAAAGGAAAAAACCTTAATCCATACATCATACTTTAAAAATTAACTCAAGAAGGAAAACAGACTTAAATGTAAAGTTGGAAGAGAAAGGCAAGAAAATATTTGTGTCCCTACCTTTCACAAAGGTTTATTATTTAAAAGACACACTTAAAAGAATTATCTAGTAAGGTAATTTTATACCTAGAATACACAAAAACTCAAAATTCAGAAATTGGGGAGAAAACCCTTAAATCCTTAAATGATTTTAACATTTTACTAAGGAAAATAGATAACAAAAAGCATATGAAAATATGCTCAGCTCTATTCGTAGGAAAATGCAGATTAAAACAAAATGAGATGCTACTGTATAAGTTGTTAAAATGGCTAAAATTTACAATATTGACCTTAGTGAGACATGGAGGAACTCAAATACCTATATACTGCTACTGGAAATATAAAATGTAATAGTTCTTTGGAAAACAGTTTTGCAGTTTCTTGAAAAGCTGAACGTATACCTACAGTGTGGTCTAGCCATTCCACTTCTGGATAAGTAAATCCAAGAGGAAAGGAAATTTGTGTTCATATGAAGAAATTAACATATAAATGTTGATAGCAGCTTTGTCAATTAAATGTCAATTTTTTTTTGTAATTTAGCTATACAATGCATTACTTTTTAGCAATGAAAAGGAATGGACATTTGATGAATGCTGAGTGAAGAAAAGTGACAAGAAAGAGTATATACAGTATAATCCCATTTATATAAAATTCTAAACTATGAAAACAAAAGTGATAAAATTAGTGGCAGGGTGGAAAGGGAAGGATTATCCAGATGCATCAGGAAACTTTTGAGATATGTTCACTATCTTAATTGGAAAAAGTTCATATATATATTACAGAGCAGAGCAAACCAAAAAATGAAATTATATATTTTTGTTGTACACTAATTCAGTGAAACTTTCATTTTTTAAAAAAAGGAATGCCTTTTTTTCTTTTTAAATAAAGGAAGGATTCACATATATTATTACTTAAAATATATTTTTTAATGCTCTGATTTTCTCTGGTACTTAAAATTTTTATTTTAAATATTTTAATTTTTAGTGTTTGTGAATCAGCCTGCATATGAATGTAAAGGCATTGCAAAAAATGACACACTCATTTTTCACTCACTGTGGTTCTTCCTGCCTCCCCCCTTTAGGAGTGACAGTTCGTTCAGATTCTTTGTATTCTTTTTCGTCTATATTTGTCAGTTTGCTGTACATGTACTCCAGGCTGCAGGATTTCATAACTGGGGTAACTGGTAAGTCACTTAATTACTCTAGCTTAAATCTCATGTAGTATATTTATATAATTTTGACTTCTTAAAATAGTTAACATATAAGAGCCAGCTTGGCAAAAGTAAATAAATAAAAGTAAAATTAATAAAATGCAATTAAACATTTCCTAAGGCTAATATTTGGACAAGTCATTTCATTTGCAAATCATATTCCCATTAAAAAAAACACACACATAACTAGCTTAAATAAAATGTGTATAGAAGGGCCAAGGATTTTGGAAGGGGGAGAGAAGAACCTCTAGGATTTTAAGGAAAAGGTACACAGGCACATGGTCATATGGTTTTAAAAGGTAGAACCACACTACATGTACATGTATATCCATAAACAGTGTATTCATTCTTACTTAGCATGACAAGAATGCTCATTGAATGGGGGATCCTTTGAAACAGACTGTCTAGACTCACACCAATAAGTGATAGAAGATTTATTTTTGCTTCATATGCTCTGGGTCAAAATAACTTTGAGTGGAAGAGTACATATCTCTAGTTGAGCTGTCTACAGCTGAATTCTTAGGTTCTGAAAGCATGTAGGCAACTTTGCTGTGTGGTGTGCTTCTGAAAATGAGCAGATAACTGAAGATTGTCAAACACTTAAATTTGGTCTGCTATTATTGGATTAATGACTGTCAGACAGCAGTAGCTTTATGGATCTTCTAGTGAGCATACACACTCACACAGTATTTACATAGGTATTTTAAATCTTTTCAAGGAAAAAGTTTAATTACTGTGAATAGTGCACATTTGAAGGAAAGGAAATATTTAATTTAAAAAATACTCTGCTTATATTAACAGCACACTTTTTAAATTATGAAATTGAAGTAATTTCTTTCGCTTTTAAGTTCAAATTTATAAAAAAAAAAAAGTTAAAGTGAGCACAACAGCATGTAGTGACTAAAGCCTACACAAAAAAGTGTTAGTGATGGAGTATACAGTATGACTTGTTTTTAGACGTGATGCAATTCATAGTTAAGAAAAATCAAACTTTATTTTGAGATAATTGTAGACCCAGCTGCAGTTACAAAAAATAAGAGACTACCTGTTTCTTACCAAGTTTCCCCCAGTGATACATCTTGTAAAACTGTAGTAATTCTCATCAGTATTTGATGTTGATACTATTTATTTTAGCCTTTCTGACTGATGTGCAATGATACCTCATAATGGTTTTGCATATCCCTAGTGACTCATGTTAGTTATCTTTTCATATACTTATTTGCCATCTTTATATCCTCTTGGTGAAATGCTGTTTCATCTTTTGTACATTGTCTGAATTGTTAATGTTTTAAATCTGGTGGTACACACTTAAGACTCTAAAGTTTCATGTTTGGGCTTGCCTTTTTCTCTTATATTGTTGTAGTCCCCATAGTTCTCTTACCGCCATATCGCCTGGAAGCCATCACCACAATAAATATGTTCTTCCTTCCCTGCTTTGACCCTTTCCCCACACCCCTCCTTTGTTGTATGCCTCAGGTCTATGGTCAGCTTGCTAATTTTAACTTTTTCTTGACCGTTTGTTTGGTTTCTCTACATTTCATTGACAAGCTAGTCCATCTGATATTTTTTCCTTAGGGCTTTTTTTGGCTAGCATAATCCCCTCCATCTCCATCCACGGTGCAGCACATGTCATGCATTTGTCTTTTTTGGATCACTGAGTAATATTCCCTTATGTAAACATACATCTTTTTGATCCATTTGTCCATTTTTTGGCATTTGGGTTGTTTCCATATTCTGGCTGTTGTGAATAGTGCTGCAATAAACAGGAGTATAGGTTTCCTTTCAAATTATTTTTTTTTGTTCCTTGAGTTGATAACCAGGAATAGAATTGCTGACCCATGACTGAATTTGAATTTGATTATGTCATTTTATTATCTAAGTAACCTTAGGTAATTTACAGAGTCTGCTTCTTATCTGTAAAGTAAGGATTATAAATAGTATCTATTTCATGGGATTTTTGTGAAAATTAAATGAATTAATACACAAAGAATTTGAACATTAGGCCTCCCTTGTGGCACAGGGGTTAAAGACATAGCACTATCAAGCTATCCCGAGCCACTGCAACATGATTATGTTCAATCCATGGCCAGGGAGCTAACCCACATGGCATGGCAGGACTGTACTGTCTCGCCCACTGCTCCCCTCAACAATATATTTCAGTAGATCCACCTGTTCTGCTCCCTACTCTATCTCTGGTGAATACTCTCACCCCTCACACCTCTGTCCTACACCCCTGTTCTTGTATGCATAAATATAAATCTTTTTAAAAATAAAAAATAAGAATTTGAATACTGAATACTGCTGAATATGTATTGTGTTATTTTTTCTAAAGTATTTGTTTACTTTTCTTGCCTTATTATACTTTTTATTACTTCATAGTGGTTGGATTTCATCCCTCACTGGCCTGAACCAAAGTATTCCTGTTGGAATCATGATGATAATCATAGCAGCACTTTTCACAGCATCAGCAGTCATCTCACTAGTTATGTTTAAAAAGGTAAGTGAAATTTTGTCTGTAACTATAATGAACTTGATTTTTAGTTTTCCTTTTTCAATTGTTCTTTATTCAGTGTAACCTCATGATACTTTTTTGTTCTGTAGGTTTTAGAAAATTGCATTGTATTTTAAATTATTATAAGAGGAGTATCCCCCCCATCCCCAAATCCTGTTAACTGGTCTTCTATTCTGATTATTTCTTTTTTGAATATGAAAGAATATTAATCTGATTTTTAAAAAATTATTTAATGAAGTGCCATCTGTTTACATCCTTGTTAATGATTTAAAAAAAAATGATTTATTTATTCATACAGAACTGGGATACAAGCCAGAGTTGCAGGGGTGGTGAGAGGCTTCACCAGAGAGTGGGGAGCAGAACAGGCAGATCTACAAAGTACACTGCTGAGGGGATTAGCGGGCGGGTCAGGAGAGGTCTGCTGCGCCATGTGGGTCACCTCAAGGGTGGGGATTGAACTAAGGTGAAGTGGCTTTAGTTTCTTAGTGCTGTGCTTTAACCCACTGTACCACCAGGGAGGGCCACATCCTGTTAATGTTTTAATAGATAGTGTGGAATTTCTCCCCTCTGCTTTTGGTCACTGTAATTCCCACCATGAATGCACCGTAGTCCTCCATCATAGTCTGTTATGCTCCCCCTTCTCTGTTTTTACCCTTATTTCTTTATCCGCTGTCTCAAGTTTGTGGTCAGCTTTCAAGGGTTTTTTTTTTTGAAGATTCATTTATTTATTCATACAGAACTGGGGTACAAGACTGAGGTGCAGGGGTGGTGAGAGACTTTATCACAGAAAGAGTGGGGAACAGAACAGGTAATGAAGTACACTGCTGAGGGGAGCAGTGGGCAGGTCAGGAGAGATCTGCCATGCCATGTGGGTCACCTTCGGGGCTGGGGATTCAACTGGCCTGCAGCAGCTGCAGCTAACTTGCAGTGCTGTGTCCTAACACACTGTGCCACCAGGGTGGGCCCTCAAGGGTTTAAAGTTTGTCTGTGACACTTCATTTGGTTTCTCTATATTCCACATATAATTGATACTGTCCAGTATTTATCTTTCTCTTTCTGGATTATTTTGCTTAGATCTCGTCCAACTTCTTCCATGTTGCCACAAATATCATGTGTTTATCTTTTTGATTGCTGAGTAGTATCCTATTACTACTGAGGTGTACTACATCTGCCTGATCGACTTGTCTGTTTTGGGACAATTAGATGATACAGAGAAGTAAAACTATTGTGTGATATATGCATTTTATTTGTATTTACATTTTAACATGCCGAATTGATTAAGCATATAAAGTTGGGGCTGGTTATACTTTGTTAAGTAAGTGCCTGTATAAGTCATTGTTCTATCAGAGAAATAGAAGAAGAGATTTATTGAAAGGAATTGACTTATTTGGTTGTGGGAACTGGCTAGTTTAGCCTGAAATTCATCCAGCAGGCCATCAGGAATGGTTGCAAAGAGACCAGAAATGGGATTTCTTCTTCAAAGAATGTCAGTTCTGTTCCCCATCTCTTTCAACTGATTGGATCATTGGATCAGGCCTACCCAGATCATTTAGGATATTTCTCTGTGGTCAGCTGTTTGTAGATTCTAGTCATATTTACAAAATACTTCACAGCAAGTACCTAGATTAGTGTTTTAATAAATGGGGACTCTTAACATAGTCATGTTGGCAACATTAACCTGATAGTTTAAATGTCATTCATTTGAGAATACTTTAATTTCAGATGTATCACTGAAGATGCTTTATGGTTTACTATAAATGTAACAAACTTAGAGCATAGTAGGTTTCAGTGGTATATTGCAGGTTCCACTAATTTGTAAAACTGTTTATTAGCATGTGTCATGTGCTAGGCACTGCTCTGTGTGTGGTCCAAGACCTCTTTTTTTTTTGGTATGGAAGAGAAACAAGTGCGTAATGCCATAATCCCATGATTCAATGGCTACTTATATAAAGGCAAGTTTTGGAGATCTTTTTAAGTATTGTGTTAAAGTATTTCCTCACTGAGTGATCTTGTTGAATAGGATTTATCTAAGTCAAGTTGATAGCTAGATAGCAGGGATACCACACTCATTTTAGTTGCAGCAAATTCAGGAAATAAAAAGTAGCTCAGAAAGGGTAGATGAAAATTGGTACATGTCTTGGGCAGGAAGAAATGTGGGGTGTTTGGGGGCTTGGGACAATGAAACTGAACATGTAAATATGATTATATTCTGCAGGCTCCTGTAAACTAGAAAATCTGTCAAGAGTTTGCATCATCTCCAAAGAGTAGTGCTCAAAAGCTTTTTAGGACAGTAACAAAAATGCTTTGATTTGAGTAGTGCAGAAAGACTATTCTGGAATAAATTTGGGATTTTAAGGGCAGAGACATTATACTTAGAAAAACTAAGAGTGGAAGACAAATTAAGAAGCTCATTAGTAATGATGGTAGACTGTATAAGGAAGTGTTAGTGCAAAGTAACCATGGAGGGGGGAGAGGGGAGTGAGAGTGCAACCACTGATTAGAACAAGTCTGGAAGTGAGGGACTAGGCAAGACTCAAGGATGACACCCATGCTCTCAGATGGTTGGCACTCAGGAAGAGTAGATTTGTTTTCAACAAATGTTTTGAACTTTCAGTGTGGAGAGTTTAAAATGTTGGTGGAACATTGAAGTGCACACACTTGGTAGGGCTTGGGATACATAAGTTGGCAATGAAGGAAAGAGCATTAGACTATATTTCTTGACTTGGGAGGTATCAATTTCTTGATATATAGAAGTAGGGGTGAAGAGACAAGACCTAGTATAGACTACTCTCCATATTTAAGAGTTTGCGGAGGGAAGATTGTAGAAAGATTTTTCACAGAAGTGAGTGGTTGGTAGGGGAGAGGGATATGTGGTACAGATGATAGTCTGAGAGTGGTGGAAGTGTTTATTCTACAGCTACTATAGTGCCATGTATAGCACTTCTAATTCTCAGAAGCACACGATATTCAAGAGCTAACCAATGAAAGGAAAAGTTTGAGAGTTGTATTCCTGGAAGATCAGTCATTCAAAAGAAGTATGAGCACTTCCAAAATAAAATTGAAGTATTGTTACTATTTTTGATTGACTTTTTTTCTTAAACACCTTACAGAGAAATTGCCAGTTACCTCCTTTTACGTGTTCACTGACTGTTGGTGATATACAAGTACCCAAACCTCACTGAATCTCATATTTAGCTGTGACATAAATAATGTAGATGGTTATCTGTATCATTTTATGAGATATAATAAATTGGGGTAAAATAAGCTAACATGTAATTTGAGCAAACTTTCATATTAACTGCCATGATAGAAACTGAGACCCAGTATAAACACCTGATTTCCCCCTATTTCATTTTATACTTGGTCAACAGTGGCTAATTTGGAAAAAAAAAAAAAAAAATCCTGTAAGGTGTATGTAGGCTCAGTTTTTAACCACCAGGGGTCAGGCTCTCCATAAGTGGTTACTGCCCTCTAAAAATTATATGTGCACATTGTTTTGGCTCTAAAATTTTTTCATTAGGCTGTTCTGTGTTTCCAGCCCCAGCTAAATGTGCTTTGTGATAGATTTTTCATTTGAAGTGAATCTAATGCTGAGAATTTTGTTGGTGTTCTGAAGTTGCATGATTGGAGTAGTTATCATTGGTGTAAAAAGTGCCCAGTGTGAGAATGGTGGTTTTTTTGTTTCATCTGTAGTGTCATTCTGTAATCCAAATTTTAGATAATTGCCATGCAAGAATATCTGCTTGTTTTTCCTCTTAATAAATAAGAGAAGAATTCAATCCTTATCATTCAAAAATAGGTTTCTTAAATTTTTGCTCGGAGTATTTATTTCTAAATGGCATGTGAAAGTTTTTCTGTTCTAAGCTGTCTAGGCTGAGGGAGAGATTATAAATGGGTCAAAGAACAATAAACAGATGAGTCACAGGAGACCATGTACCAAAAATTTCCCCATCTTTTAGTTGATATTAGAACTAGAATAGCTTAATGTGAGTTAAACAGATAATACATAATTTGTATTGCTTGGGAACCTAGTTTGGAATGATTATTATGTGAAAGCTAAAATTTAATAGACTCATATTAATACATACTTATAATCTTTTGCACTTCAAGAAGAATTAAAAAAAAAACTTTCATTTCTTTAGAAAACAAAATTCTCAATGTGTTCTAAAATTTTTTATACACCTAAATGTTTGCTCTGAAAATACTTTGTGTGAAAGTATGGTCCAGAGTAATGACAGTTAAGTTGTACTTATTAAATTGGTGTTTTAGAGTAAAAACTTGGTGAAGATGTCCTTTTAATACATACATAAAGTAATAATCTTCTTAAATTAAGAGTGCCTTGCTGTGTTTGAAAACATTATTGTTCACCTCATATTTTTTTTAATTTGTATCTGGGGCAGAAAGCTGATACTTTGACTTTACTGTTTTTCTGTAGTCTGAAATATCTGTATGCCCACATCCTCTTCCAATCCAATTTAGAATTACCCAGCACTATAGTCTTTACTGATTAGGAATCAGATGGTTAACATTGTCTATTAAAATGGTGTCCCACCTATCTTAATATTAACACAGAGTCTTCATTCAAGGACACAAAGTAGGTATAACAACACTTTTAAATTCCTTAGAAAAATTGGCACTCTGAGCAGGTTGTTTATACCGTCTTCAGTTGATATACTTACTATGTTCATTTTTTAAAATTGCTCCCAATTTTATTTTGTTATCTGTTTATGTTAGTACTGAGCTACCTATTTAATAGATCCCAAACCAATGTTGATATAACCAATCTATTGTACATTTTCTTTATCTAGACATCTTTAAATTGTTAAATTTAAATTATTCATATATTTATAAAGTTGTACATAGTTTCATCTGAATCATCTGTATTTTTAAGAGAATTTATTTTTTGAAATAATGTATGTTGTATCCATTTAAAGTATACAATTCAGTGTTTTTTGAATATTACATTATTAACTTTAAATTTCATATAAATGTAAATTTTTCCATTTGAATAATTTTTAAATTTACATTTCAGAGGCATTAATTGCATTCACTAAATTGTAGAGCTATCACCACTATTTCCCAAACTTTTTTATTATCCCTAACAGAAACACTGCAGTCATTAAGCAATAACTCTTCCCCCTACTCCCATAATTTCAGATCTGTTTGCTACTCAGTGAATTTATTTTACTGTCAATTGTGAAATCTACATAAATGTTTTATTCACTTAAAATGTTTTCAAAGATTCATCCATATTGCAGCATATGTCAGAAATTCATTCCTTTTATCACTAAATCATATTCCACTCTCTATATATACTGCACTGTGTTTATTAAACTGTTGATGGAAAGGTTTTTTTTTTTCCATTTTGGATATAATGATGCTATAATGTTCGCATATAAAAATCTGTTGTTTCTCTGCTGTTAATTATTTTGGGCATATACCTAGGAATGTTCTTGTTAGGTTATGTTATAGAGAGTTTGTTTTGTTTTTTTAAGAACCACCAATATTTTCCTATCAGCAATACTGTACCCACCAGCAATGTATGAGTATTCTAATTTCTCCACACCCTTGCAAACACTGGTTATTTTCCATTTTTTTATTGTAAACATCCATCCTAGTAGATATGAAAATAGTATGTTCATTTTGAAAACATAAATCCTGAGGAAATTGGAAACAATATATTACTTTTAAGACAGGTATAGATTAATATGAGCAATATTGTCCTTATCTGATAATTTTTTTTTAATAATGAGGATACCTTTGGACCATTAGTTTAATCCCTAAAAAATAAAAACAATTATTTGATGGCTTTTACCACAAGTTACTATGCTATATCTTTTAGGGGTGTAACAGTGAGTAGAAATTAGCTCTTGCTTTCAGAGGACTAAAAGCCTGTGTGTAAGACATGTGGAGAAACCTTATAAAAGAAGCAGCACAATCATGCCCTAAAAGTATACCAAGGTGAACCACAGCTTGTTTAGGAAGAAAAATGATAGGACAGCATTTGAGGTGGAACTGTAAGGATGAGTGAGCTTTCAATGATGTGGAAGTAGAGTAGTAACATAGTGGGTTACAGAGGGTATTTTAACTCAAATCTTTGGGTTCATTGAGGGTTTCTAGGAATTGTCAGATGAAAACAATTAAGCTAAGAGACCCATCCCTTTTTTTTTTTTTAAAGATTTATTTATTTATGCATACAGAACTGGAGTACAGGCCAGAGGTGCAGGGGCGGTGAGAGGATTTACCAGAGACAGAGTGGGGAGAAGAACAGGCTGACTAACGAAGTACAATGCTGAGGGGAACGGTGGGTGGCGTCAGGAGAGGTCTGCTGCGCCATGTGGATCACCTCTGGTGGGGGGTTGGGGGGATATTGAGCTCTGCTGCGCCATGTGGATCACCTCTGGTGGGGGGTTGGGGGGATATTGAGCTCATGCTGAAGTGGCTTTAGTTTCTTAGTGCTGTGCTTTAACCCACTGCGCCACCAGGGAGGGCCCAAGGCTCATACTTTTTCAAAAATCAAAGTGGTACTTAAAAAAATGCATATTAAAAATCCTATTTGTTTTGACATTCCTAGCTTTTATAAAAGGTTAAAGTAACTTTGGTATGATAAGGAGCTTATGTTAATAAAAATGTGATTTCTTGAATGGTATTCTACAAACTTAAATGAGAACATATGTTTGGATTATTCATTTAAATAAAGTACCATAGTTATTTGCTTCCATAATATATACGTTTTTGTGTGTCAACATACCACCACAGTGTAAACTAAGATATTTTGAAGATACATGAAATAAGTAGGAAATCTTTCTAGAGTGACATCTAGAGTGACACTTCACCAGATATTTAAAAATTCAAATCTTTGTAAGTCTGACACATTTACACAATTCTCATTCTATCTCTGGATAGGACAACAGATATTCTTGTTTCATGGGGATAACGTCAAGGTTTAAGTGGTGATTAGCCAGCTAGAATGTAGTAGGATATCAAATTCAGAGAACTTTCTGTGATACTGCTGGAACTAAGTATTTAGGTTTATGCAATCCACATAAATAGAAGCGACAGCTAGAATTTTATTTTTTTAAGATACAGTATCTTGAAATTCCAAGATTTGATAAGGAATAGGAGTTATCAGGATACTGTAACTCTTGAACATGTGAGGGAAATAATAATTGGAGATGCTGTTCCTTATAATTAGCCTGTCATCTTGCTGGTACCCTAAAGAAAGAAATTGCACTTTTTACATGTATGTAATTGGATTTAATACAGTATTTCAGCATCATCCATTTAATACATTTGTAGTCTTTTCCCTCTAGGTGGCTCTCTGGATCTGTATAGATACAGACTGTTGAGAAATGTGTGCTGTTTCTACCTTTATTGTAACTCTTTGCCCTGTGGGGCTATGAATTACATTTTAAGTATTTAAAGTAGGGAGCCCATGAGTACATAACAGAGCAGTCAATTTAATACAAAATTTAACAAGAAATAACAAAGCAAATTAGAACGAATGTAATTTATTACATGTCTACAAACTTAGAGGGAAGGGGTTGAAAGACAGACAAGTGAACCTGTGCATACATTGCACTATGAGTGGATCTGGTACAAAGAGTGCATGTTAAATTTCTATATCATAATTCATTCTTTAAAAAGATTTATTTATGCTTATAGAACTGGGGTACAGGCCAGAGTTGTGGTGAGTGAGAGGATTCATCAGAGACAGAGTAGGGAACAGTACAGGCACATCTGCTGAAATACACTGCTGAGGAGAGCAGCGGGCAGGTCAGGAGAGGTGTGCTGTGCCATATGGGTCAGCTCCCTGGCTGGGGATTGAAATCGTGCTGCAGTGGCTTCTGAGAGCTTCACAGTGCTGTGCTTTAACCTGTTGTGTCAACAGAGAGAGCCCAAATTTCTATATTTAATTTTAAAGGATCTAATCATATGTACTCACTGTGAGATAAATTTCTTTAAAATGAGTAATGATTTTTCTGTATTTCTAATTTTCTACAGAAAACTTATTTTTTAGGAGAATAAGTACAATACTTCCATAGTTCCATAGTGCTATGGTTCTAAGACAAAAAATTAGGGTTTACTAGCATACCTACTAATCAGTGCTCTCTTTCTCCCTGAGCACTTCTTTCTTGATCCATGATTATATGACATTTCCCATCATTGTCTTGGTATTTTTATCATTTACCATGGCAGCTCTGTATTCCTTAGCACACTTTATTCCCTTAGCATCTCTAGTTTTTGGACTTTCCTGTTTCTCTCCTAGTGATTCCTTGCTTGTGGGTAACTTAAGTATTGGTGTCTTAATAGGCTTTGGTACTTGGCTTCCTTCTCTTTCTGTGTTCTCCATGGATAGCTTTATTTGTCAGCATATGAGCTCCATTTGTCTGCCAGTGGTTTCCAAGTCCATGTCTCTAGCCCATTCTTATATTGAGCTCTAAGCCTGCCTAGAGTAGGGGTTCAGTAAAAAATTATAGATGAATGTTTAGAAGTTAACTCATCTATCTCCCTTCCTTCCTGAGCCAACCTATCCCCTTGATCTTTTTGAAATGATTTCCTACTATCAAACCTTGACTTGAGAATCCGACTCATTCTACTTTTCCTTATTCCACAATTAACCATTTCTTATCCAGGTTTGAGAAAAGGATTGACTTGTGTGCACTGCTTCTCATCCTTAAAACACTTCAGTTACACTGCAGTCAGGCTTCTAATTTAGATCTACTCAAAATGCAATGGAATTACAAGTATATATTGTCTCTTCCTCTTTCCTCCTGAGTTTGTAGACCTGTAATAAAAATTTGAATTTTCTCAAGTTTTAAAAAATTGAGTGACTGATGTTATATGTTGGTGGGCTTCACATTTATGCATCTTAAATCATAAGCTAGTAGAAGAGGTATATTTGAGACCTCCCTGTGAAAAAATTTGAGTTAAAAACTAGTATGGACAGAAAATCGCTGAAGTGTTTCTTCATAAATCCTTTAGGAGTTGACCATACACAAAGAATTATATAAAGAGTAGCTAGCAGAAGTATGTTTAATGACATAAACATGTGCTTGACATAATTCATGACACCATTTGATTATCATAGGCTCCTTTCCTTATATGTAGAACGCATAGTTAATAGATAGGGTATTACTGTCTTTGAATTATCTAGGCTAATAAATTAATGTATTAAAGTCAGATTGTCTTTTTTTTTAGGTTTAAATCATTTTTATAATATTGAAATATCCTAATGAACCAGTTAGGTACAGAGGAAAATTTAACTTTTTGTAGTTGGCTAAGGGGTGCTTTTTATTTTTGATTTGACATAGGTGTAAGTATGTCTTCTCAACTAGAAAGAAATAGGAAAAATCTATGTTAAAATAATGCAGGCTAGTATGGTGGCTGATGTTCTTGATCTTAGAATTACTAGGAGTAGTCCTTTTCTTTCAGTAATGTTGGAATGTTGTTTTGATTGAAGAGCTACTGGAAATGTATGTATAGATTGACACTTGTACTCTCTTGTGTCCCCTTAGGTACATGGACTATATCGCACAACAGGTGCTAGTTTTGAGAAGGCCCAACAAGAGTTTGCAACAGGCGTGATGTCAAACAAAACTGTCCAGACTGCAGCTGCAAATGCAGCTTCAACTGCAGCAACTAGTGCAGCTCAGAATGCTTTCAAGGGTAACCAAATTTAGAGAATCTTCAAGTAATACACTTACCTTTTGACTATACGTTTCTCTCCAGTTACTGTATTCTATAAATATTTTTATGTTCAAAACAGACAATACACACAGCATGTATTTTTCCTATTCACTTGTGCATGGGCTAAAACCAGAAAAAATTCTGTCTTATTTACCTAACAGTTTAATATTTCAGTGCCCCTTGCAGAAAAAAAAAGAACTACATGCTAAATAAATATTCTCCATATTTTTTGGGGGATGACTATTTATTAGATTATTTCAGTGGTGACACTGATATTAATATGGTATATGATTGAAAATGCTGTTAGTACTAGCTGCAGTCATTCTTTCAGGAATCTTTAGACTTAAGGGTTACACACTGGAGCAGTAAGATGATGCTTCATTCCTTTTTCCTTATTTATAGTGAAAGAAATAGGTGATCAAAGACTTGCAGATTTTTTAAATTGGCTTGCTTTTTAGCAGTTAAGTCACCGTGAAGCCTGTGTGCATTTCGTAGTAGATGATGTAAATTTTATCTTCTATTTTTTTTAGAGTGGTTGATATTTTGATATCAATCTCTGATCTTGCACGTTTCTTAAATTAAAATTAGTATTTTGGGTTCTGCACTGCTTATAGCTGTAGTATTGGGGAGTTGTTTATAGAATCCTAGAAATGATTTTCTGTAATAGTTACTTTTAAATTAAAATTTATTGGGCTACAGTAGGCAAATATAATGTGCAGTGCATTATCCAAAAGAAAAGGTAGTGAATCACTGGAATAGAATGTAGTGATGATATCCATTTTTTAAAATTTTTCAGTATTCATATCATAGTGAGATGTTACTGTATGGAAACTTTGGTATATTGTGGCTACTCTTTTTAACTGAATTGAGATTGTGTTTGGCAGTTCCTTATTGGAGTGTATGTAATTTTTAACAAAAGTATTGAAGTTTAGCCTAACTCCTCCAAATAGAACATACAGTATTTAAGGGATTTTTTCTTGACTCTTTTTGATTTTTAGTGGCATTAAAAATACTCTGGCATTTAACATAACTTGAATCCCTAATGCAACTCAGTCTTTCAATTTTTTAAACAGACTGAATACTTTAAAAATTTTCAGCAATAGAAAAACAAAACATTTAACTTGAACCAAACAAGAAAATACAAATACAGTTGAAATCACTCACATCATTTTTGTTATACATTGAATTTGTTACTATGTAGCACGGGAATTCATTCTTATAGTGTATTTGGGTTGAAACTTTAAATCATTTTTAATACTAAATTAATGAAAGGCTTTTGTAAAGTCATGCTACTGTGTTTGGAATATTTATCTAATTTAAGATTGTAGATATCGATTTATTCAATTTGGTTTTAAAAAAAGGATAGTCTGTTGGAATACATTATTTGAGACTCAAATCCTTAAAAAGTCAGATGGATATAAATGGTTAAAATCACTCCCATTCTTCTTAAATCTAGAGTTTAAATACTGGGGGTGGGACAGTGACTTCTCATTATTATGAAAGAAGCTTTATGTGATACTAGGTAATATAGATCCATCTTGATGGTGTTCACATTTGATGTATTTGGTACTTTATTGAGGTAATATACTTGGAAGGTGTTTCTTTTATTCTGAAGAAAATAGGTTCTAGAGTATGAATTTAAAACTTTTTATGAATATTTCTGGTTAGTGATAAGATCCATCTACTCCTCAACCAGTTCAGCCAGTTCATGTTTTTCAGTCTATAATTTTACTGTAAATCTGTTGATCAGTGTGCTTTATTGAGTATAGATATTACAAATATTCAAAACATTTATCACAAAATACAAGAATACATACATGCCCACCATTAATTTATATCTTAGGTCTTTTTGTTTTTCTCTAAACTGCAAATGAAATATATATTCTAGAGACTTAAAAAGTACTCAAATAGTTTTCTTTGGAGTAAGATTATTTCCTTTACTCTATGGAAAGGTAGCATTGTTAAATAGCAAAGAATAATTTCACCAGGGTTACCTTTTTTGCGTATGTGAATGGGGAAAATATTGTTTTAAAATGCAGTTATTTGGTTTAATACACATTTATGAGAGAAAATAATGCTTTTTAAACAAATATGCAATTAAATGATGCTTACAGTATGGGGGTTTAAATTATCTTCTCTAATAACAATAATGAGTGAATAGTTGGCATTTTTACTCAGCTAAAGATTGGCATATTTTTCTTTTTTAATTTTTTAATAGTAAAATTACCCAGTATCACAACTATAATGTGGTTTGCAGACTGGTGGCATCCATGCCATTTTTCTCTTTGCAATATTAAAATGTGGACATTCTAATGCAGTTTGAACACTGGAAAATCATTGTTTAGTGATTTGTAATTTGGGTCTTTGGATTATTTAGCGAAGTTTGTATATTTTGTCAATATTGCGCTGCTGTCATGGTGACTGTCTTGGTACTATATAAATGCCCTCCATCTGTCCTGCTAATGTTGCATGTTTTCAGTGGTTTGGAAGTTTTGTATATTTATTGTATTAACACAGAGTATCATAAAATAAAAGGCTCTTTAATGGATGTTTGTTTGTATAATTTTAAACACTGTATTGGCACTTCAGAGGCAGAAATTGTCCTGAGAGTTTAATGTACATAGAAGTACCACATTTGACTTAAAAAAAAATCTGTATAATTATTTTCTCATGTGCCAAATATAAACAACTTAGACTTTCAGCAACATAAAATGTGAATTCTTCTGTGGCATTAAACCTTTTTTTTTTAAAGTAAAGGTACATGAGGTATCTAACTCATTAAATATGTTAACTACTTTAAGGTCCAACCATATAGACTATCTGGAAGTTAGATTAAAAATGGAAAACTTGGATTTTGTAATTGAGATATTTTCTGTGGATTAAAATGGATGCCTCTGTATTAGTATTACATTGATTTGATTGAACTTGTGCTCTGTTTTTTAACTTCATTACCTGTTGCAGTTTCATGTACTGAAGAAAGTACCTCCTTGTGTATTGTTGGTTATCTAAAGATTTAAAATTTAACCTAGTATAGTTTTAATGGTGAATCTTATTTTGAGGAATACATGTTAAAATGGAAACAGTTTTTTTTTATTTTTTGGGCATTAATTAAAAAATTGAGTTTGGCTTTTCATTTGTATCTTACTCTAAATTATTTGAGATTTGTATGATTTCCATTTTTAGGGATTTATGTTGTCTACATCTGTTTTCTGTAATCATTTTTAATAGCATAAGACTAACAGTTGCTCTATTTTTCTGAAAACACTGACATTACCATCTAAATTTATGTCTTCATTGGTAAAATCAGTTTAGACTTTTGCTTAGACACTTTTCTTTTGTGCATATTTTCCCTGCTGTATGTAGATTAGAATTACTGTGTCTGTCATATGTTGTTTCACTGAATCTCCTCCATTGTTTCCTTAAGAAAAATGGTTATAGAGGAATTTGTTGATTCTCTGTGATTAAGACCTTAGCGGTGAAAGAAAAGTGGTTAATGTTACATAGATTGAAGATGATTAAAAAATAAAAAATACCTTACTTTGATAGCATTTTCAAATACTGTAGTATAAATTTATTCAGGGGAGAATAATATAAAACAGTCCAGTCATTTAAAATATTTGTTTATTAAACTGAAAAGTTATATGTGAATGGCCATATGTTATGGAAAGTGAAACATTTACCCTACAATTTTAGGGTACAACTTCTTAAACTGCAGGCATTTTGAATTAATAGGTTTTTTTTTTTTTTAAA